TCTCGAGCGAGCTGGCAGGCTTGGATCCGAGAGGGCCTTGACACTGGAGCGAGGAAGGTCCACTGGGCCATTCGGGATCCCTCCCCCTGGAAGCCGTCGACGACCCTCTCGTCGGAAGGATCCCTGGTTTCTGATCCGTTATCGCCCTTTTGTGCTGAAGGTGCGAAGTTCTCGGCCTTTTGGGGATCTGGAGCTGGATCGATTCGTGGCAGGCCAGAGCTGGTCGACCCCCTTCCTCGCCTCAGCGCTGACGTTATTCGGGGTGTCTCTCGGAAATACAGGAAAGACACGGCGGTCTCTTTTGATGGGTTCAGTTGCAGGCACTTTCAGTTTCTGTGTGACGACGCTCTCGAATGTCTGGCCGCCCTTTTTGAAGTCATGGAGTGTGTCGGCCAGCTTCCTGAGCAGATTTCGGCGGTGCTGCTTGCGCTGCTCCCCTAGCCCAAGGGTGGCTACAGGCCGATTGGGGTGTTCTGTTCCTTGTGCAGGGTCTGGGTTCGGTGTCGTCGACCTCATGCCCTGGCCTGGGAACAGCGACACCCCCGTCGGTACTGGGCCGCTGGAGAGCACAGGGGAGCTGCGGATGTGGTGTGGCGTCAATCGGCTAGGGCTGAGAGCTGCACTGCGAGCAAAGAATGTTATTGTTCGGTCTTCTATGATATGCTCAAGTGCTATGAGACTATCGATTTGAGAGTGTTGGGGGCCAAGTGTATGAAACACCAGTTTCCGCTTGCCATCGCGCGAGTGTGCATCTTCGCGTTTCGCACTGGTCGTTTTCTTTCGTTAGGTGGGCTGCTCAATGGTCCCTACCGCGTGGAGTTCGGGGCGGTGGCGGGGTGCAGCTTCGCCACCACCTTCATTCGTGTGTTTGGCATGGACGCCTTCGACTCGATTCCCGTCTCGCCTTCGTCGGAGCTCGACATTTACATCGACGACAGTGGGGTCTCGGCCTATGGGTCTAAGTCGTCGGTTGTCCGCAGCATCGTTAGGGCTTCTTCTGCGCTTCATGATGCTATCACTCGTATGCGTGGCTGCAGTCTTGCTCTTGATAAGGTGTGCACGGTCGCTTCTGATGTGGAGGTGGGAACGGCTGCGTCTCAACGTCTCGGGTCCCTGGGGGGCCGCGTGGTTGAGTCGACTCCTAATTTGGGGATCGATTTCTCCGCGGGCAAGTTTATTCGTGGCAAGCAGGGACGAGGGGGCAAAATCAAGGCGCGCGTGGCCGCGATGCTGAGGAACTCTAAGAGACTCAAAAAGCTCTCGGGCACCCTTGGCAGGAAGAGTCTCAAAATCTTCGCCACTGGTCCCTTAGCTTCTGGCGCGTACGTGTGTGAAGTTGTGGGGATCAGCGGCAACGATCTTTTATGCGTGCGGAGGGCTGCTTTCTCTCAAGTGAGGCCTTTCGCATCTGGTCGCAGCCTCGCGGCCTGCTGCATCCTGGCCTCCGACCCCACCTGGAGAGCGGCGACGGCGCCCATTTTGAGATGGGGTAAGGAGGTGTGGTTGTCGCAGACCAATCTTTTCCCAGGGGCGCTCTCGCTGCGGGAGCTCCGCGAGGCGTGGGCGACTGTTTGGGCCAGGCCGAAGGTCACGTGAGGCACTGTGGCTGGCCCTCTCAGTGCCATGCGCTTGACGTTGCTCAGGCTGGGTTGGCACATGACGAACGCGATGACCATCATAGATGACAAGGGTAGACCCATAGAGTTAGGTGTTACTTCCCCTGCTTTGTTGGCCATCCACTGCCGCGAGGCCCTGCTCCGTTCCCTGGAGAGAGATCTTGGGGAGAAATGGGCGGATGGGGGTCGCCTCTGTCTTGGCGCCCCCAGGGCCGCCCTTGCGTCGGGCAAATTTTCTGCTAGAGACAAAGGCCTAATCAGAGCTCTCGCGTGCAATGCGATCTGGACCCCTGATCGTGCGATACGGTGCGGATATGAGATCAGTGAGTGGTGTGTTTTTTGTGGGGAACGTGACAGCCTCCACCACAGACTGCGAATCTGTCCTCACTGTGCGGATGTGCGAGCTGAGGTAGCAGACGCCGATGTCATCGCCTCAGCTTTGAACACTGTGGCTGCGGACTACTCGGACAACTTATTCTGTCACGCGGCTTTCGCCCACCCCGCCGGTGTCCTCCCGAGGCCCTGTGCTGAAGGCCAGGTTCAGCTCAAGTGGTTTAGGGGCATGCTGGACGGGCCTGAGGGGTCTGAGGAGGCTCGTGAGGGAGCTATCTGGGGCCACTTATTATTGGACGGTTCGTGTCACAGGCACGTCATTAGAGAGCTCACTAGGGCGTCTTGGGCGATCACTGTGCAAGACAGTGCTGGTGAGTTGCTCGGTGCTGTGAGTGGTCCTGTGTGGGATCGTTACCCGCAGACCCCACAAGCGGGCGAGTGGCTCGCCCGAGGGATGGCAGGCACGCTCGTAAGACATGAGTCCACAGTGTACCGTGACTGCCTCAACGTTGTCAAGTTGTCGAATCTCCCGCTCCAGGCCAGGCGTTCTGGTAAGCATGTGTACAGCGGGATCCTTCTTGAGGCGAATGCTCGGGAGGGTCGTCTCATAGGAGAAATCATCAAAGTTGAGGCCCATAAGGACCTGGACGAGGCTGGTCTTTGTCCCCAGGAATCCTTTCGGCGTAGGTGTAATAATGACGCTGACGCTGCCGCAAAGCACGCTCTGTCTTTTCATCCTGTCGACACTGACCTCGTGGTGAGTGTTGAATGGCAGATCAAAGTTGCCAAAACGGTCTGCAAACTGGCTGCCCGCGCGCTGCTTGAGTGGCCCCGTTTGGACCTCTCGGGAGCCCCAAAGAGGGATTTGAGCGTGAGCAAGGCCCCGTTTTTGGCTGTTGTTAAGCCTCACGATTGGGCCGTCTGGTCTGGGATCTGGCGGTGTAGAGTCTGTTTGCTAGGATGTAGAGGTGCGGTCCCCGCGGGGAGCGAATGTCCTGGCGCGAGCAAGCTCGATGAAGGCGTGCTTGTGTCCTATGGTCACCGCGTCCTGGCGCTGCCCTGCTCAGACGGATCACACCTGTTCATTTGCGTGCGTTGTAAGTTGTACAGCACAGGTGGTAGAGTAATGGGCCTTGGCAAATTTTGCCCAGGCAAAGCTTCACGTGGCGGAAGTTATGCCTGGAAAGCGTCGTGCGCTAAGGGTCGTCACCCCAACAGGCTCAGAAGTGCTATTGTTGTCGACGCGCACGCTGTGGTCGGTCTTTTTGGTTCGGACTTGCCTCCCAGTCTCGGCGCGGCGGCGGAGGGGGAGTTGACTCCCCAGTCTTCAGTCCGAGCCGAGGCAGTGCAGGCACGCTTCAGAGGTCCCCCACTGGGCGAGTCGAGTGGTTGTGATGCCTCGGTCGAGGCGCCTTTGCAGTCTGCTCAGACGAAGCCCGTGAGGTTCGAGCTCGAAGCCGAGGCAGAGGCCGCGGCATTTCTGTTCGGATCTCCTGCAGGCCCCACTCTGCCACCCCGAGTCGAGTCGTCGATCAGGTCGTCGTCGTCGTCGTCGGGAGCGGTGGCGGATGGTGGGAAGGCGCCCTCGTTTCGGCCCCCCCTGGACCCTCCCGAACGGGACTCTGAGGTCCAGGGTCCAGCGCAGATGCTCGGGTCTCTGAGGCTTGCCCACCCGAGGGTTTCACGTGCAGGGGTTGCCCTGCCTGCAGTTGCCGCTGTCCCCTGTCGACAGGAGGAAGGGCAACTCGCTTCGCGGTCGGAGGTCCTTGACAGTGACTCCTCCGACTGAGGGCCAGGGCCTTTGGGCGCTGGTCCTCGTCGAGCTCGGCTCGACCATTCAGTCGTCTTGGTTTTCAAGGCGAGCCTGCACTGTGCCCTGCCCGCAGTGCTTGTAGAGCGAGGCAGTGTGGCGTTGAGGCCAAAAAAAAAGGTTTCCCCGGATTTCATGGCGCCTCTTCTTATGTCCTCACGTCCCCAGCCCCCCCCCCCTGGGCCGCGCACATGCCGCCGGTCATGATTTGCACCCCCCCCCTCTTGGACGCCCCTCTCTTGGCCGCCCCCGATTGTCGTTATGCGGCTTCGATGCGCGTTTTGTCGTTTCTCGTCGGTATCGTTTAGCCGACCCCCATCCCCATCCTCATCCCCCTCGAGACCCCCACCAAATTACCCCCCACCCAGTTTGGGATACACCCGTCGAGAACCGAAGGGAACGGCCCACATCCCCATCTAGGGGGGTAAATCGGCCAGTGGGGCCCAGGCCACGCCGCATGGGATGGGGGTCGGATAAACGATGCTCATCTCGATTGGAGACGAAACGAACGAGAACGAGCAACACTACTTTGGCCGAAAAGGGAACAACGGCATAAACACAACCTTCTGGCGCTCCGCGCGGCTTTCTTGGATCCGCGCTGGGCCCCCCGCGACGGCGCCTCTGGCGCCGCCCCTGGCGCGCTCCGCGCGCCGGGGCTTGCGCGGATCCAAGAACATCCGCCTGGAGCGCCAAAAGCTTATGTCAACTGCGTTTCTCTTCATTCTGCCTGCGGCAGAGGCTGATTCAGGAAGGCAAAAGACACACAGACACAATTGATCGTCGACTCCCAGGAAAAGAGTGGAAACTATGGGAAGTGGTGGGGAAGACAGAAACCCAGAAAATAGGGGGAAATATGGGCAATCCTTTTATTTGTGTGTATTTATTGGGTGTCCCAGGGCCCCTTCACTGACGGCAGACACAACGCGGGGAAGCGAACACAGCACGGCGTTTCTCTTCATTCTGCCTGCGGCAGAGGCTGATTCAGGAAGGCAAAAGACACACAGACACAATTGATCGTCGACTCCCAGGAAAAGAGTGGAAACTATGGGAAGTGGTGGGGAAGACAGAAACCCAGAAAATAGGGGGAAATATGGGCAATCCTTTTATTTGTGTGTATTTATTGGGTGTCCCAGGGCCCCTTCACTGACGGCAGACACAACGCGGGGAAGCGAACACAGCACGAGGACGAGAAGCACTGCTTTGGCCGAGCCCTGGCGCACGTCGGCCGACGCCTCTCCCAGGATAGAGGGCGCTGGCGCCGAGGGCGGCGCGGCCAGCAGGGGCTGCGGCGTGAGCTGAGCCAGCCTCCTCCTCCTCAATCCTCCTCCTCCTCCTCAATCTCCTCCTCCTCCTTATCCTCCTCCTCCTCCTCCTCCTCAATCCTCCTCCTCCTCAATCCTCCTCCTCCTCCTCAATCCTCCTCCTCCTCCTCCCTCCTCCTCCTCCCTCCTCCCTCTCCTCCTCCCCCTCTGTCGCTGCCCCCCCCCCTCCAGCCCTACTTCTCTCCCTATGCTCAAGTCGGGCCTGTCCCTCCCCAGGAGGAACATTCGAGACAATCGTCAGCAAATGCTCTGGGGGCGATCTCTGGAGCAGTTTGGGGGGTACCGTTCGAGTACTGACGGGGGGCAGCTTTGACCTCCCGTCCAACACCCGCCTGTGGGGGGGGGGGGGGACACGCCCGACCTGGCCCCGTGCCTCTCCTCCTCCCTCTCGCGGACGCAGGGCGGCGCCTCCCACGGCCGAGCCGAGGTCATCAGGCCGAGGTCGCGTCGGGGAGGCTGCCCCGGCGTCCTCCGTGCCTGCTGCGTGCTCTCCGGGCATCTCTGGGGGGAGGGCGGGCCTGTCCCTCTACAGGGGGATTCTGGACGAGAAAATAAACAACAGATCGGACAAATCTTCACAAGATGGCTCACAAGAGTCAAAAAACAGCCCCCTGACTGTTTTGCTACTATTCTTGAATATACCCCCTGTAGAGGGACAGGCCCGACTTCATTCTTGGGGGAGGGTGCCCTCGATTCCCTCTGCGCAGTCTGGCCGGCGCAGGGCCTCGTGTTCCTGGAGGGTGCTCTTCTGCCCCATGATGGGCCTGTTTTCCACCACCACAAGTTGGAGGGGGGAAGGAGGTGGAGGACGAGGAGGAAGAAAACGAAGAGGAGGAGGAGGACCCCCTCCCCTCCTACTTCTGGTGGCGGTGGTGGAAGACAAGCCCACCATCCTAGGCCCGACCGTATCACAATCGGATTGAAGAGTTGCGCGAATTTCGGGGATCCGCGCTGGGCCTTCGCGGCGGCGCTGGCGCGCGCTCCGCGCGGCAGGGAGGGGCTGTCGGCGCAGATCCAGGACATCCGCTCGGAGAGCCGAACGTTTACGATCCTGCCTGTTTTCTTCATCGAGCACGCCGAACAATTCGCATCGCAGTAGCCCAGGTTGCTCGACGCGCGAGCGGACCGCCTTTGCCGCGCCGCGACGCACAGAAAATAGTTTTTTGTTCTCATCGGAGAAATGGGTATCAGTGGCACGCATATCGTCTTTGAGACTGTGCGTGTTGCTCCTTCGCCTGTCGTTCCCAAGGCCTGTTGAACGAGTGCCCCTGATAATTACAGGGTGAGGATAACGAAGTTCGGTTATTTGATCGCTTCGCTCATTCCGCCGGCCCTGGAGCCCTCTTTAGGGCCTCTTGGGGGCCTCTTGGGGGCCTCTTGGGAGTCTCTTGGGGCTCCTTGGCGGCGTCTTGGGGGCCCCCAGGGCCTCTTGGGGGGCTTTTGGGGGCCTCTTGGGGCGGGAGGGGGGGAGTCGATTGCAGCTTCCCCCTCGGAGGCCACGATCCTTGTGAGAGCTGTCGAAGAATGGCCCTCCCCTGGAGTGCTCTGGTGGCTTCTCCCGGGACCTTGTCGGGATACTTTTCGTCCGGGGGCCCCCAGGGGCCGCTCCGCGCGCGCGAACTAGAAATATTGTTAACCAGTTGCCGGACATCTTAGCACGCTTCTGGACCGTTTGGGCCGGCGAATTTGGGGTGATGATGAACGCCTTCCGAGAGGGTGCAGCATAAAGGAGTAGGGGAGGAGTGAACGGAGTCTTTCGGAGTGTACGGATGTGCGTAGTGTCCTATGGTATAACGATGCCGTGCTCATTCTTGAGAGAAAAAGTCAGCGCAAATGAAAGGGGTGGGTGGGAGGGCAGGATGTCAGATATGGCGCGAGCGCACCTAGCTTGTCCCTCCACAACTACTCAGTATGAATACTACTCTCCCTCTTTCCCTGATGACGGCCTGGGAGTGTCCGACCCCCCCCCGCGTACTTTTTTTACACAGGTTTCCCCCCAGTAGGGTTTTCGCCTGCATTTGTTTTCAAAATGCTGCTCTCGCTGAGGCGCCGGCCTCATTTTCGGGCACCGCTCGTTCCGAATCGTGCTCCCGCTGCAGCGCTGGCCTCATTTCCGTGCTTCCGCTCGTTCCGAATCGTGCTCCCGCTGCAGCGTTGGTCTTATTTCCGCGCTTCCGCTCGTTTCGACTCGTGCTCCCGCTGCAGCGCTGGCGTCATTTCCCGTGCCATGCCACGGCATGCAATGCAATGCTAGGTTGATACTACGCTTTGCGGTGCTCTTCTACGCCATGCCACGCCGTGCTCTGCAATGCATCGCGTACCCTTTCGGGATCATTGCCCTGCTCGACATCCGACTGTGCGAGTAGAGTAGAGAGGGGATCTGCGCCATGGTAAGGGATGGGAGGGAGGGGCAGGATGTCAGATATGACGCGAGCGCACCTAGCTTGCCTCTCTTCCCTCCCCCTCTTCCCCATTACCTCCCGCCTTTCCGTCCCCTCCCCCTCCCCCTCTCAACTCCCCCTCCCCACTATCCCCCCTCCTCGTGAGCGCGCGCTGACCGCCCAGCGGCCGCTCACAACCACCGCTTGTCTCCAACTCTTTCCTCCAACCCTCCAACTCTTTCCTCCAACCCCGCCCCCCTGGCCGGCGGCGGGCAGAGACGAGCTGGCCGCGCCTCCAACAACAAGTTGCACTCGGAGGCTGGGGTGCCGCCACCGGAGGGGCAACAAAAGTTCGGGCCTCTGCCCTGGGGCGTCTTCGTCGCCGAGGTCTTCCTGGCGTGGCGGAATCGACCCGCCGCGAGGGAAGCCTCGGCATCCTCGCGTCGTGAAAGACACGACGGAGCAGTTTGTTTGGCTCTTGGTGTCCCGTCCCGGGCCTCGGGACCGTCAGCAAAACGACTCAGTGTGAGAAGCGGGTCCCCGGGGCAGGGGTCCAGACCTTGGGGACCCTCGTCTGAGCAAGATCGCGACATCCGACGCCTTGGAAGGGGTCTTGAGGGGAGGGGATCCTACGTGGTTTCGCCGGTCTCGGGCCCCCGGGATCCTGTCCCCGGGCCACCGTAAGGCACAACATTTTACCAGCCTGGAACATATCCCTATCCCTATGCTGGGCACCCCACCACGATGCCGATCTTAGGGATTCCTTCATTTTTTGAGGGCGAATCCCTAAGATTGTCATCGCCTTTTGGCGTGTCAATCTTAAGGATAGGGATACGTTCGGGGCTGGTAAACATTCGGAATGAGGAGCCGGTCCCAGGGGAAAGCCCTGGGGTTTTGTTGCTCCCGTCGTACTCGAGGACCACGTCCCAGAAATAGCTTCGAGCACCCGGGAAAGTATCGAAATGGTGTCGAACGAGCATCGCCTCCCAGGGCCCGACACGTGGACGCCCTCCAGGTTCGGTGCCCTCTTGGCGCTCGAGGTTGTTCCTGGTCATTCGGGCCAAAGTAGGTTGGAACATCACAGCCTTAAGTCGGGCCTGTCCCTCTACAGGAGGAATGTTCAACCATAGTAAAAAAGAGTAGTCAGCCCTAAACCCTAAACCCTAAACCCTAAACCCTAAACCCTAAACCCTAATTTTTCGACTATTTGGGGGTACTCCTTGAGTTTTTCCCAACCATCCTGTGGTGTTGGGTCCTCGTTTTGAAGAGACAGCGCCCCGCGTCCCACCTCCTCTCCTCCTCTCTCCTCTCCTCTGCCGTCCGCATGCGTCCCGCACACCCATTTCGGCACACCCCTCACACGTTTCGTGGCCCCACAGGGAGCTCCACCGAAGGCCCCAGTGCTGCCGTCCGCATGCGTCCCGCACACCCATTTCGGCACACCCCTCACACGTTTCGTGGCCCCATAGGGAGCTCCACCGAAGGCCCCATGGCTGCCGTCCGCATGCGTCCCGCACACCCATTTCGGCACACCCCTCACACGTTTCGTGGCCCCACAGGGAGCTCCACCGAAGGCCCCAGTGCTGCCGTCCGCATGCGTCCCGCACACCCATTTCGGCACACCCCTCACACGTTTCGTGGCCCCATAGGGAGCTCCACCGAAGGCCCCATGGCTGCCGTCCGCATGCGTCCCGCACACCCATTTCGGCACACCCCTCACACGTTTCGTGGCCCCACAGGGAGCTCCACCGAAGGCCCCAGTGCTGCCGTCCGCATGCGTCCCGCACACCCATTTCGGCACACCCCTCACACGTTTCGTGGCCCCATAGGGAGCTCCACCGAAGGCCCCATGGCTGCCGTCCGCATGCGTCCCGCACACCCATTTCGGCACACCCCTCACACGTTTCGTGGCCCCACAGGGAGCTCCACCGAAGGCCCCAGTGCTGCCGTCCGCATGCGTCCCGCACACCCATTTCGGCACACCCCTCACACGTTTCGTGGCCCCATAGGGAGCTCCACCGAAGGCCCCATGGCTGCCGTCCGCATGCGTCCCGCACACCCATTTCGGCACACCCCTCACACGTTTCGTGGCCCCACAGGGAGCTCCACCGAAGGCCCCAGTGCTGCCGTCCGCATGCGTCCCGCACACCAGGTGTGTGGCGTGCCGACATGGGCGTCGCGGCGCGCGGGCGCTGCCGTCGGGGTTCCCAGGGAAGCCCCCTGCAGAGGCGACGCTCAGAGTCACGAGTACCGAGAGTCACGCAGACCCAAACTGTTCACAGTCGTATACATACATTTACACTGGGCGTATCCATGCACGCATTCATGCGAATAGAATCAATCGCGCGCAGATTCATTCATAATCAGACTCGCTCGCGATCCGACTCGCACGCGCTCAAGCTTTCATATTCGGACCTATCGTCTTCGTTCGTGTTGTGTACACTGCCACGCATTTCGGCACACCCCTCATACGGCTCGTGGCCCCATAGGGAGCGCCACCGAAGAAGATATTCACAATTGCGGTACTCTCAACTGCATATGGTTGGGTCCTTCGCCAGGCTAATTAAAATCCGCCCGCCCTGATCGTAGCCCTGGG